AAACAACAATCAAAACAAACAAACATTCTGAAAATAACAGTTTAAATCAGCACATCTTGTATATTGCATTTATCTACTGAATTTAAAAGAGGTAAACTATTTTGGCATATAGATAGATAGTGTTTAGTCATTCACATCCTCCAGCTCAATACATTTCAGGCAAACACTGAGATTTGGTTAACCCATGAGCCCTTATTTGAAAGATACAGATTTGTTAGAGAAGAGTGTATCCCAAAAACTTATAGCAAGTCTTAGAAGGAAATTCTATGACTTAGGCTCATAGATCGGATGCTGCCATAGACATTCTTAGAACTGAATAAGTATATGCGACAGTCTTTCTGCATCCACAGCGTAGCTGATTTTACTGTTATTAATATTACAAATAAATTAGCCAATAGAATCTACTGACAAACTACTGATCTATCAAACAGCCACTGTGGCCATAGGCCAGAAAAAATAATCATGGAAGCATGAACTCCCAAAAATTAACCCTAGAGAACATTAAATAAAAATGTAAACAAGAACATAGAAATACAGGGGCTGTCAATTCTGACTTCCTTCTCAAAATGTTAGTGGCCTAGCTGTCTCTAACTTTAGTACCTACGATTCTGACCCAAAATAAACACACAACTTAATAAAAGGGATGAACAAAACTAAGAGTTTTATTTCCTCAAATTTGTTTTAAAAAATAGGAAGATTTTGGCAGCATTTTGTAATTTTAGCAAAATACATTGGGTCAAAAGGGAAGTACAAATTGTGCCAAATATATACCACACGGTTTAAAGATATGCTTATTTTTTATAGTCATAATTCATAGTTTTATTATACAGAGTTGAGGTGGGTCCCCTCGGTAGTCCCTCAGTGGTGAGAGAGAGAGAGAACATAGCTCCCTTGAAACTTACTTCCTAACTCCTAATTGAGAAGTTAAGGGTATTTAAGAACTCATATCCCAGCACTCTGTGCACTCTGTGTCTCAACATAGTTCTCTGTGCCATCACAGCCTATATTTGTGATTAGTCTAAATATAGGCAGTGCCATGAAGTTACCAACCAAGTGCCATGCTGGAGGAGGGCGTACCCTTTGTTTCACATTTGTTTATATTTAGTTAAAAAGCACAGATTCAACCCTCTTCATCTCACAATTTAAAAAATTCAAAAAGAAAAAGGAGGATGTGTACAGATGCAACTAAAAATGATGTGAAAAATGATACAATTACATAAAGAAAAATGAAAAACAATGGATACATAATACAAATATGGTAAATTTGTAATAAAGTTATCGTCATAACAATACTACTTGCATAATAAATAAATAACATCCTGCTGATGGGACACGAAGGATAAAACAGAAAAAAGAAAATTGAAAAATAAAGGCATAAATAAAAGTATCATTTATAAATAGCCATATCTGAAAAGCCAGAATCATACCCCTAAATGGGCACTAGATGGCAACCTTAATCATCCATGAATTCCAAATAAAATACCATGTTTCAAAGTAATTTTTTCAACAAACATGAATGCAATTTGAAAACTTTGTAAAAACATGGTGCAAAAACATTAAAGCTAATTTCACTTTTATTTTTATTTTAGATTTTATTTATTTGAGCTTGGCTAGTGGTTGTATATATGTGTTTAATTGCTTAAAGTCACGTTCCACTTTTTGATGACATCGGGTTTTGATGCAGATTATCCGCAGTTTTACATATTCCAACTCAGAGTTGCAAGGCAAAATTTCTAATATATATGTATACAGTGACCAGTTCTGATGCAAATGTTCAATTTTCCTTAAGGATTTACTGGAATTCTCCTTTTGGCGGTTCTTGCATTGATGTACGTTTTCTCTTCACGGCATTTTCGTCGAATCAGTTTCCGTGGATTTTGGCTGACACATCATTTGTATACATTGATGTATATTTTGGTAAGATTTATATTTGGAAAGATGTGTATTTTGGTAAGATTTATTAGCAAAGCTATTGTTATCCCTTCTTACATCAGGCATCTATAATTGAAAGCCCAACTAAACTTCCAGACATATGAGTGACTTTTATGAGAGCCTAAGCTGTAATTGGAGTACTTTAGCTGTGCTCTAAAGGTATATATGCGTTTAGGTGATTAGATATCAACTATCTAGTTTTTTCTTATTTTGAAATTATATATATGGTGGTTGATGTATTTGTTTTTGTATTTATATGTTAGCTGGCATGTTTATTAATTGTGTATTGCTTGAATGTTTATGTATTTTTTCTTTTTTATGTTCTTTTTTGTGGGATGTTTGTTGGAGGAAAATATTTACAAATAAAAAGTATCTGATTAAAAAAAAAACTTCCAGTTTAAGAAAAACTAAATACATTGCAGGTGGTTTTAAACAAACGGTATTCAAAGTGCATTAGGCAGGGGACCCTACAGCATTTTGTATAGGTGCAAATGCTGAGCAGTGAAGAACTCTTGGGCAGGGACGAAGTTAAGTATTTACCTAGGAGGGGAATTTACTTAAAAGTGAAGCTGTCCTTTACCAAGATGCCCTATACTAAACCAGTGTGAAGCAATGCAGATTCTTCTTAAAACCCAAAAGTATTATACATTACAATCTAAGAAACATGTGGTTTATTCCTCATTTTAGGACAGTGGTTAGAGCAATGCAAATAATTCCTATATGTTCTGGGACAACTGTGTATTTAGAACTTACACCACTGATACAGACTAATGTCGTTGACTATTTATTTTAAATCAATGTTTATTGAGTGCACCAAAATAAAACATACAAGTGAACTTGTCAAGTACACATAACATATTTTCAACCACATGGAGGTGTAAACATAGTAGTAAAAATTTATGTATGTGCAGCTTGACCACATGTAATGAGACCCGGCTTTCAGGTCTAAAGACATTCAAGAGCAGGAAAAGAAAGAGGCAGGGAAAGGGAGTAAGAAACTGAGGAAGATAAGAAAGGGAGGGAGTCATGGAAAATTCTCTCTCATAGTTAGCATGTTGAGGTAACTAATAAGAATAAGACATAAGTGATAAGAAAAGTGGGGGAAGGGGTAAAAAATGAGGGGGGAGGGGCGTGGAAGGTTCACTGTAACCTTTTGGGAGGTAAAGGACACCTGGAGTCTTCCCATCAGAATTGCAAGAGGCGTCTAACAAAAGTGGGCAGAGGAAAATGCAAGACCCAAGCAGTCTACATTTAATTAAAAACATGCATTTTATTTATTCATTTCTATGTCATTTTTTTTTCTTCAAAAATTTGTGTCTCCTCAATTCTGTTTTTGACTGCATGAAAATGTAATTTGAGAACTTTCAAGATTCAGCAATAACCTATTTGGTGGCCATAAATCATGAATGTTAATAATTTATACCGGTAGAAGATAGCCTTGTGCCTTTTTATTATGGAAGTCCTCGCAAGTGTTTGGGGTGAGTGGGCAGCCTAGGAGGATGGCTTTATGTCTATATACTCTGGACCACAAAGCATTGGCCACTGGGCATTGCCACTATATATGTACAATATATATGTTCCAGAGTCATCACTCCCCCTAAAACACATTTCAGGATACCTCAAACAGAATTAAGTCCCATAGATTATTTTATTCTAAACTGCATACAAGTGTATACATGTTATGTAGCTAACACTGCACCGTAAACCAAGAATATATGGGGGCTATGAGAATAGAGAAAGAATGACATAATATATTGTGCATACTTTGTTAATAATGTTCCTTTGTAACAGTACTATTGGTATATGAATAAAAAATAGAATTGCATGTATTTGTTTTAAAATACATTTGCACAATTAAGGCAATTTTTAGCAATAACAACCATAAGTGAATCATTTTTAACATCTTACTTTTGATCCTGTTAATATGCAATTCATTTTATTTACAGATTATTCTTCATGGCAGCTTTGGACTTATCCAGCTACCCAAGTTTCATGTCTACTTATCGGTTCCTGCTATAGTCTTTATTGGAGACAGTTTAATAAGTCTGAGCAGAAAAAAGAGAGAAATTAGTGTAATAAAAGCAGAACTGCTTCCATCAGGTACTTGTGAATTTTTTTAAGAACAACAAAGATAATACCTTTCTATACCATGCTATATTAAATTATACTGTTACTTAGAAGTGGCATGTGAAAAGTGGTTTAATGGGGGTTTAAATATTTGCCACATATATAACTGGGTTAATTAAATAAAATAGTGCAAAGAAATACAGACAAAAAGGTAAATTATGTTCCCTGCAAAAGGATTTATATTTCTGCTCCGCCAGTCTAATAATTCACACTTCCCAGTTACACTGCATAACCAGTTCCTGTACACTACACTTTGACCCATTTCAACTTGTAACTGGACAATGAAGCAGCAGAACAGTGATGAGACCATCCCTGTGCGCTTTCTGCCTTTTAATATGTTTAAATGAGAAATGTGCAAAGCAACAAAGCCTGCTTGTCTCTCACTGATGGCCCTGCCTCTCCCAGTCTGATCTCAGTTTTTCTGTGCAGAAGAAGATCAAATCAAAACTGTGTTCAGTACTGATGTTGGTTTTATGTAAAATTCATTTTATTTAATGAATACGTAACCAAATAAATGGTGTCTCTATTTAAAACTAAAACAAAAAATACTTGTCTGTGATGTATACAAACCTAATATGATGTTTTTTTATTCCACAGATGTGACATTTCTTAAATTTCAGAGGCCTAATGACTTTGAATACAAATCTGGACAGTGGGTGAGAATAGCCTGCTTGTCCTTAGGAACCAATGAATACCACCCTTTCACATTAACCAGTGCTCCAAATGAAGACTCGCTGAGCCTGCATATCAGAGCTGCAGGCCCATGGACCACTCGTCTGCGTGAGCTGTATTCTCCACAGAGCATTGCCGAGCTTGGTAGTTATCCAAAAGTAAGTTATATTTAATTATTTTAATCATTCCATTTGTACATTGTTGTAATTTATTCAAAGGAGAGAGTATGTGATTGGGTGTTTTTAAGTGTGAGTGGCTTGGTTCATTTGGCCCATGTTGTGTAGCAAGACCTTTCCAAGGACTGATAGCAGCATGTAGGCTGTCATTATTGTCCTTAGGAAAGTGCTGTGTGGCCTGGCTGTTATTCTGATCTATTTAATCCAGGGGGCACCCAGGGCAAAGCGCGCAAGTCACCTGCTGTGAGGATGTCCTCCAGTCCGACCCACAGTTTTTCCTCACCCTTGTGGAACCAGTCTACTATACGAGTCAGGACTATGGAGACGTGGTAGAGAAAGATATCCGGCGCGCTAGCCCCCCCCCCTGCGTTTCGGGAGGGCCAGTGATCGTTAGCTAAGGCGTGGGCGTAAGGTGCCCCAAATGAAATTAGTGAAGGCCTGCTGGACCTGTTTCAGATAGGCAGATGGCAGGGCAATAGGTATTGTCTGGAAGAGATATAGGAATCTAGGGACAATGTCCATTTTGAGTGCATTAATCCGCCCCAGCCAGGAAATACGTTTGCGGTCATAGGCGGTTAAGTCCAGGGTGAGCCTGTCAAGCAGGGGGTGGAAATTAGCAGAGAACAAGTCAGTTAGGTCACTCGGGAGAGAGACTCCCAGGTATTTCAGCGAGGCCGAGCAGACGCGGAAGGGGTAGTTGTCAGTCAGGAGGTTCAGGGCCGCGGTCCCCAAGGGAACATTCAAGATCTCCGATTTAGTGAGGTTAACCTGAAAATTACTCAGGGAGCCAAAAAGCTGGAACTCCCGCAGGATCGTGGGCATGGCGATATGAGGATGGGTCACGTAACAATGCCAATTTGGAATTATGGAGGCCCACCTGTAGGCCCTGGAAGGCAGAGTCCTGCCGGAGGGCGACTGTCAAGTGTTCCATGGTGAGAATATATAAGAGAGGGGACAACGGGCAGGCCTGTCTGGTGCCATTAGAGATCTTAAAGCTAGGGGAGAGTGAGACGTTTACTCGAATCCTGGCTGACGGGCAGGAATACAGGGCCATTATGTTCCGCAACATGGCGGGGCGTATCCCAAGCTGCAATAGGGAGTGTCGGAGGAAACACCAGTCCAGGCGATTAAACGCTTTGTCTGCGTCCACCGACAGGAGGCAAAGTGGAGTGCCAGATGTTTGAGCGAAGTGCAACAGTAGTGTTCGGATGGTGTTGTCCTCTGCCTCCCGGCCCTGAACAAACCCCACCTGATCTGCATGGATCACTCCTGGGAGCAGCGGCTTCAACCGGTTGGCTATCAGTTTGGACGAATAACTTCACGTCTACATTGAGGAGGGAGATCGGTCGGTAGTTTGTGCATAGGGTATGATCCTTACCAGGCTTAGGGATCAACGAGATGTGAGCCTCAAGTGATTGAGTAGGGAAGGAGGTGCCTTGCGCGATAGAGTTAAACACCCGCAGAAGGAAGGGGGTCAGTTTATCCCTAAATTAATTGAAATTTTTTACTGTGAAGCCATCAGGCCCCGGGCTCTTTCCGGTTGGGGTTGATTTGAGGGCAAAGGTTAGTTCCTCAATGGTGAAGGGGGACTCCAGCGTCTCAGCATCCAAGTCCCCTAAGGTCGGAAGGGCCGTGTGCTGAACATACTCCGCCAACTCCTTGTCACGGTCCGGGGAAGGAACCGCTGACTCCGCTATAGAAATCTGCAAAGGTGATCTGACCATATCATAGGGCCAATGTCACAGTCAGGGGTCCAGTCAAGCGCGTGATGCGAGGTAAAAAGGTAATCTAATCTGCTGTAAGAGTGGTGCTCAGGCCTCTATCATCTTTTTAAGTGGGAGAACTTGCACAATTGGTGGCTGACTAAATACTTTTTTGCCCCACTGTAATAGTGCGTATAGTTGCGGGACTGCGGGTGGAGCACCCTCCAAACATCAAGTAAGCGGAGGTGGGTCAGGCATTGTTTAACTCTGTGCAGTTTGGGGAAGGATACGGCGGAGCGTCCGGTGGACGAGTCTAGGCAGGGTTCTAAAGTAAGATTGAAATCCCCACCCACCAACTGCGTACCCTCAGCGTAGTCCTCCAGAACCCGGAGATACTAAACAGAGGCAGTCGCTTGGCCTGTGTTAGGGAGATAGAAATTGGCAAGGGTGAAGATCCTACCCCAGAGTGACAGTTTTAGCAGGAGATGTCTGCCAATGGGGTCCGCACGATGGTCTAACACCGTTGCGGGGAGGGACTTGTGGAGAGCAATGGAGACACCTCTGGATTTGTGGATATCATTCGTACTATGGTACCACCCAGTGAAATACCGGCTGGCACAGGACGTGATTGGTTTGAAAATGGGTTTCCTGGAGCATAACAATGTGCACCCTACTTATGTGCATGTGGTACATTATTTGGCCACTTTTGGAAGGAATGTTAAGGCCCCTGGCATTATAGGTGCAGAGCCGTAGCTCAGTTGGAGGCTGATCCGGTAGTGCCATGGCAGAGGGTAGGGGGGACAAGACGGGCGGGTAAGAAGGAAGGCCAGCGGCCAGAAAAGACAGACCAGGGGAAGCAGAGAGCGGGAGGGTTGTAGAGAAAGGCGGTATTGGGATAGGAAGAGAGAAAACGAGCGTGGATAAGATAGGTGGCTGGGGGGGAGGAGGAGGACTACAAAAGCTGAAAAGGGCGGATTAAACCCGCTATGTAACGTTAAAGAATCTAGCAAAGCTAGAGCGCACTATCTCCTGTAGGAAATGTGCCACCTATGTGGGGGCGGTGGCTAAGCAAGGTGGAACGGAGATGCTAACCAGGGCCCACTGTATAATAAGTTCAATCAACAACATTTATCCCCATAAAGTTAAAACAGTAGTGCAGCAACATGAGGATACAGAAACATGACAAAAAACCAACCTGGAGATCATCTATATGGACCCACCCGGGTCCCATTGCGGAGAACACTTGAGGTCCAGCAAGGGCGGCCCCACCCAAGTCCCGCAACTCCCCAAGCGTGGGAGTACTTTACACTGTCCCCAAACCACATGACCGGCGCCGTCCCCACCGGGGGAACCAGCGCCCAAAACAGTTTGTTCAAACATTGTTAAAGCAGTAAACAGGGTAACACGTAACATGGTAGCACCTAACGCCTCATTGCAGGTCGCAAGTGCAGTTGGCAGGGGCCCACAGCCCCATAGGGGGTCAACCACGCCGCAAGCAGCAACTGAGGTCGGCAGGTGTTCACATCACTGTAAAGAGACAACTACGGGCCAGTACCCAGTCCCCCGCCCCCACATAGGAGCCGGGACCCTTTATGGTAGCACCTAACGCCTCATTGCAGGTCGCAGTCGGCAGGGGCCCACAGCCCCATAGGAGGTCAACCATGCCGCAAGCAGCAAGTGAGGTTGGCTAGTGTTCACAGCACTGTAAAGAGACAACTACGAGCCAGTACCCGGTCCCCTGCCCCCACATAGGGGGTGTCGGGGGATGGGGGGCACCCGCTTTCACCCCAAAATTGCAGCGTGGTAGAGCCTAATGTGACAGCTTGCTCAACACCTGAGAGAAAAACAGGGTTAATCAGAGGCACAATAAAAAGAGGCGCTTTGAAGAACACTGCATGGGTGTAGAGTCAGGTAAACAGCGTGGGTCAGGGACCACGGCCCATGCGGTCAGGGTCAGACATCAGCACTCATTAGAGGAGGGAGCTGTAGGCCGGGGCGGACCCGCGCCCTCCGGCTGGAACGGACCCTCCTGTTACGTTGAGGCCGGACCTCATGTGGCATGGGGCCCTCTCCAGGGAATGGCAAGTCCAGCCAGTCCGGGACGGTGACTGGGTCAGTCCCAAGGAAGCCAAATAGATCGGGCAGCTGTAAAGGAGAACAAAGATGGAAAGAGTCCGGGCCCCTACGGATCTGGAGACTGAAGGGGTGCCCCCAGCGGTACGTGGCAAGGGCTTGACGGATAACCTCGAGCAAGGGGCCGCACTGTTCTGCGCATGGCTAAAGTCAGGTGGGAAAGGTCAGGCAAAAGTTGTATAGAGGTCCCATCAAAATCAATTGGGCCTGTTCTCCACGCCGCACGCCGCCTCTTTGATGGCGAAAAAATGGGCCGGGCAGAGCGCATCTCTCACACGGTCGGGGTTCACCAGGTTAGCTCCCGCGACCCTGTGCACTCTGTCCAGTTCAATGGCATCCGTGAGTGGCTTCCCTAGGGCTAAATTCAGAATGGCTGGTAACTGTAGCGTCAAGGTCTGGGCCCTCGCTGAGACAGAGGCCGACAAAACGGACAGGTGGGAGTCAGTGGCCGTAATCAGTTTGCCCAGCTCCTTCACTTCCCCTCTCAGAGCCCCTTCTAATCTAGTGGCCCAGGAGTCAAAGTCTGCCCTGAAGGCAGTGAGAAGGTCATGTACCTCTGTGGCTGCAGGCTCCCTACCCGTGGCTTCAGGCCGGTCTGCATCCTGGAAAACCGCCGGCGTCGACGAATCAAGGGTGGTCGCGGATGGGGTCGGAGCCCCCGAGGGATGCAGGGGCTGTAAGGCATCCAGCGGTCTCTGTCCTGTGGACCGGATTGAGGAGCAAAGGCTCTGGGCTGGCGTTAGCGGCTGCGGAAGGTCCGTCCTGGCCTTCTTCGCCGGAGCGACTTTCGGTGCCATCTTGCGGCCTTCAGCAGTGGTGTCGTCTGCCGCGCTGTCGCGGGAGCGCCGCATGAAATACGAGGTGATGTCCCGGGAGAAGGAAGAAGCAGGGGCCCCAGGTGAGTCCCGATCGTCGGGCATAGGGGGAGAAAGATGCCTAGAAGGCTTTAAAGTCACTGTTAGTGAGCCCCGGTGGTGCAGAGCTCCTGACTGCACAGCCTCACACCACCATGGCTGCCCACGCCACCTAATGAAAACATTTTTATGTAATATAGTTGAGTTTGGCCTGGAGAAGATATAGGAAAAAACTGAAGAGGATTTATACATTTTGAAGGGGCCCCGGGGGGCTCCATTGTTGAGGTGTACTTAGGGCATTTGTTTCCCCTAATCCTGCTCTAGGTGGATGGCACTATAGCACAGTGCATGACACAGTAGCTTGTATGTTAGCATTTATTATGGTAACATACATTTTACTATGTGTACCACATTGCATCAATTGGAAGGGGCCATTAAACTATTAGAACAGATTACTTTTTTACATTCCCTTTCACGCCCTTGTTTTCATTCACCAGAATATTTTTTTTTTTATTATTATTATACCGTAGCAATTTACATTTTTGTGACTGATAAACCAACCATGGATATTGTGGTCAGTAGCTCAAATTTATTATACATATGGCGAGTATGCAAAATCATTATAAGAGCATAGAAAGCCATTAATACTGTTTTTAATATTGTACGTTCCATGTAAAAGTTGGTTTAGACTTTTTGAAAGTAATGAGGACTATTTTGCTTTGCAGAAATGATGTGTCCATGGCGAGACTTTACTACTGCACAGGAGTGTTCGTGTAATGTGGATGAACAGATCATCCAGAAGGCCTTTTAGAATCTTATACAGGTGAAACTCGAATAATTAGAATATCGTGCAGAAGTTTATTTATTTCACTAATGCAACTTAAAAGGTGAAACTAATATATGAGATAGACTCATTACATGCAAAGCAAGATAGTTCAAGCCGTGATTTGTCATAATTGTGATGATTATGGCTTACAGCTCATGAAAACCCCAAATCCACAATCTCAGAAAATTAGAATATTGTGAAAAGGTGCAATATTCTAGGCTCAAAGTGTCCCACTCTAATCAGCTAATTAAGCCATAACACCTGCAAAGGGTTCCTGAGCCTTTAAATGGTCTCTCAGTCTGGTTCAGTAGGAATCACAATCATGGGAAAGACTGCTGACCTGACAGTTGTGCAGAAAACCATCATTGACACCCTCCATAAGGAGGGAAAGCCTCAAAAGGTAATTGCAAAAGAAGTTGGATGTTCCCAAAGTGCTGTATCAAAGCACATTAATAGAAAGTTATGTGGAAGGGAAAAGTGTGGAAGAAAAAGGTGCACAAGCAGCAGGGATGACCGCAGCCTGGAGAGGATTGTCAGGAAAAGGCCATTCAAAAGTGTTGGGGACTTTCACAAGGAGTGGACTGAGGCTGGAGTCAGTGCATCAAGAGCCACCACACACAGACGGATCCTGGACATGGGCTTCAAATGTCGTATTCCTCTTGTCAAGCCACTCCTGAACAACAAACAACGTCAGAAGCGTCTTACCTGGGCTAAAGAAAAACAGACCTGGTCTGTTGCTCAGTGGTCCAAAGTCCTCTTTTCTGATGAGAGCAAATTTTGCATCTCATTTGGAAACCAAGGACCCAGAGTATGGAGGAAGAATGGAGAGGCACACACTGCAAGATGCTTGAAGTCCAGTGTGAAGTTTCCACAGTCTGTGTTGATTTGGGGAGCCATGTCATCTGCTGGTGTTGGTCCACTGTGCTTCATTAAGTCCAGGGTCAACGCAGCCGTCTACCAGGAGATTTTGGAGCACTTCATGCTTCCTTCCGCAGACGAGCTCTATGGGGATGCTGACTTCATTTTCCAGCAGGACTTGGCACCTGCCCACACTGCCAAAAGCACCAAAACCTGGTTCAATGACCGTGGGATTACTGTGCTTGATTGGCCAGTAAACTCGCCTGACCTGAACCCCATAGAGCAGTGGTCCCCAACCCCCGGGCCACAGACCAGTACCGTGGATCAAATGGTACCGGGCCGGCCACGGAACATTAACAGGGGTGTGGAATTCGTATCGCCCGACACCCGGGACATGTAGTTCCGGGCGCTGGGAAATGGTGGCTGATAGCTTCCATGCCACGCCGCATTGAGGCAGTAATTGCTGCAAAAGGGGCCCAAACCAAGTACTGAGTACATATGCATGCTTATACTTTTCAGAGGTCCGATATTGTTCTATGTACAATCCTTGTTTTATTGATTGCATGTAATATTCTAATTTTCTGAGATTGTGGATATGGGGTTTTCATGAGCTGTAAGCCATAATCATCACAATTATGACAAATCACGGCTTGAACTATCTTGCTTTGCATGTAATGAGTCTATCTCATATATTAGTTTCACCTTTTAAGTTGCATTAGTGAAATAAATGAACTTTTGCACAATATTCTAATTATTCGAGTTTCACCTGTAAGTGTACTCTAGACAAATAAATATATACGTGTCTTCTCTGTATAAGCATAAACAGCAGTAGTAGGTAATTTAGTAAATTATTGATACAAAAAATATTTTGCACAAATATGCTATATATACTGTATAATTTAGTAGGAAGATGTTATGTTAAGTTATTTTTTTTATTATTTTATTTTACAACCTTGCTCGTGTTTGAAAAAACATTGCTACAAAAACCATATTTCTCTTCAGATATATTTAGATGGACCTTTCGGTGAAGGGCACCAAGAATGGAATAAATATGAAGTATCTGTATTAGTTGGAGGTGGAATTGGTGTTACTCCTTTTTCCTCAATTCTCAAAGACTTGGTGTTCAAATCATCTGTGAATACAAAGATAGTGTGCAAAAAGGTAAGACAAACACACCCTTCTAATCACATATTTCCTAAATAAATATTCTAACCTGGTTAACAGAGGGAAGAGGAGAACAAAGACTGCTCCTCAGTCAGACAATTCATGAGTGAGGCCTATTTTTGGGTCATGACAAGTTTTTGGCATGTCATACTGTGTCTGTACAAGGGTGGTATCACCACTGTGTTGCACATAGCCTGTTCACGGAGCAGAGCTGTGGGTGGGACCATGATGGTCCCACCCTGCAGGCTGCCTAAAGAAAACTACAGGGGGGCAGATACAAGAACAGTTACCTTGCAGAAGGAGAAAGAGCAGCAGTGACTGGTCTACTACAGGAAGCTTCTGCATAGAGGCAAAGTTCAAGAATTGTTTCATGCAGGACTTCTGCACAGATCTATAAGAAATGCACAAATAACACCAATAATAAAGTAAAAATACACAAGGCTTTTGTATTTAGACAGTATCTGTTTTGCTTGGTGTTAGCTGTAACCGCTTCGTGATGGGAGACATACACTGTCCCCAACACAGAGTGCCCAAATGACTGATCACGTACAATTTACCTGAGCAGCTATTTGGAGCTGTCAAAATCCGTTAACCGCTTACCGTTCATTAATGGATGCCTCAAGCTTTTGTAAAAGTTTTATTCTTTCATTAATTAAAGAATTAAGCTTTGACAGATACCTGATCGCTTGTAGCGATCGGGTATTTCACAGTAATAGTTGTGCGGTAGCACACATGTCTATAACAATACATTGTTACACTGTATTGCTTGCAGGCTATCTCCAAGTGTCATTTTACACAGGAGTGATTTAGTGGCTGGGGAGTGGTGGCAGAGGGATAGGAGCAGTGCATAAAATATATGTCCTAGAAACTTTGTTGAACTTTTTTTAGTGTCTATCTATTTCACCCAAGTTCCTCAAATTGTTAAATATTATTGATAATTGGTATGTTAATCCCTAAAATGCTCTAATACTTTTTTTTATAATTGACTAAAAACAAATTGACTAAAACATTTTTGAAAACACTTATTCTTTAGATATATTTTATATGGGTCACCCGTACACAGCGACAATTTGAGTGGCTTGCAGACATCATAAGAGAAGTTGAAGAGAATGATGAACATCAGTTAGTGTCTGTTCATATCTACATCACTCAGTTTGCTGAAAAGTTTGACCTTCGTACTACCATGCTGGTAAGCAAACATTTTGGTCTGATCCAATTACTTTTTTATATGTATGTGACAATCTTGTGTCTAAGGGTTCCACAGATGTCTGCCAGCTGTCTTCTCTATGGAAAAACAGTGTTTTGTACTGGCTAAATAACTTTTTCTGATCACTAAGATCTCTGAATTGAGCAGCCTCTATCTATAAGTCCTTATGGTTATTGCAGAATGCATCAAGGCACTAGATGAAAACTGTAAACAGATAAATCTGCGCTTCTGGAGAGAGGTGGTAGTTAGAATAAATGAATTAATAAAATATGTGTGAATAACTATAATAACAATGTAATAAAACCCGAAGCTGCTCTGAAAAGGGATAAATCCTAGTATGATCGAAAAAAACAAAGCGCTAAGGGTAAATATATGTGCAAAAAGTGAACAAAATGTTTTCTGGCGAGGCCAGTCTAAAACCTAATAAAGTGTGTGAAACAGTACTCACTACAAATTAACACAAACACTCTAACCATGGTGCACTAGACAATTATAACAAAAAAATCCATTCCAATGAATTGAATAAACGAAAAGGTATTTAAAAACATCAAAAAAGTGTCCAATAAGAGAAAAATCCAGGTGAGCAGTGGATTCCGTGTGCAAATATACAAATGTGCAAAAATAGCAGTGTACTTGAAGTTGATCCGAACTGCCCCTCTCGGGTGGGTACTTACCAAAAGGAAGTTGGTAAGAAGCTCTTAGTAAGTTATACCGTGATTAGGCTTTAGCACAGACGTGTTCTCTGCGAGTCCCGGCAGCTGAAACAATTGATTTTCTCCTCTATGCCATTGGTTATAGCTCAAGGATGAGGAGTCCAATCTTTTTTTTGTTTCAGCTGCCGGGACTCACAGAAAACACGTCTGTGCTAAAGCCTAATCACGGTATAACTTACTAAGAGCTTCTTACCAACTTCCTTTTGGTAAGTACCCACCCGAGAGGGGCAGTTCGGATCAACTTCAAGTACACTGCTATTTTTGCACATTTGTATATTTGCACACGGAATCCACCGCTCACCTGGATTTTTCTCTTATTGGACACTTTTTTGATGTTTTTAAATACCTTTTCGTTTATTTAATTCATTGGAATGGATTTTTTTGTTATAATTGTCTAGTGCACCATGGTTAGAGTGTTTGTGTTCATTTGTAGTGAGTTCTGTTTCACACACTTTATTAGGTTTTAGACTGGCCTCGCCAGAAAACATTTTGTTCACTTTTTGCACATATATTTACCCTTAGCACTAGATGAAAACTGCTGCTACCTGTGCTTTTATCTCAACAAATACACCAATTATGTTACACAGCATCATGAAGCATTTTTTCAGTAAACCACAGATGTTCTACTATAGAGTTATGTGGTAGACTTAATAGGGGATTCTAGATGAAACTGAAATGTGTTTATACCTTGCTGTTTTGGGTGTAGTATGTTGGTGGTAATCAACCACAAATGATGAATCCTGTTATTATAGGAACACGAAAAAGTATTTTTTTTTTCATTAATAATAGAAGACCCATTTTAAACAAATAATTCTTACAATATATGGCAGACTCTGTGATAATTCAAAAAGGTGTGTAATATCCATTATTGGACTGCAGTGCATCTACTTCACTACTGTCAAGACTATAAAAGTAAAATAAATGAGACCTGTACTTACAAGTCATTTACAGAAATTTGACTTCAGAAAACTAACATTACTCTTACATCTTTTTTAAGTTATTATAGTATTTTGATACAAATGAGCACATTGTATTCCTGCAACAACATAGTTCTTTATACAAGATCTTACAAAGAAAGTACTGTGTCTCTGAATGCTGAAAAATGGCCTGGACAGGAAGGGGGTTTAACACCCCAATCTTCAAGAGGCTAAGGAGCATCTAGAGTCACTGGGTAATACAAAGAGTTTAAAACAAATATAACAAACCCTCCTTAGGCGATTTCTACAGATGATAATAATAATTTTACCAATGAGAGCATACCTATATACTATAGTAAAAAAAAAAAAAAGAAAACTGTAATAACACAAAATGCAATACCTTATTGTTCAGTGGAAGAATAAAAATTTCTAAAAGAATTTACGAACAGTGTACATCCTCACAAAAGCTCAGATAGTACTGAATAAGAAGTATAGTTTTCTTTCTTTAAATGTCCCTCAGTGCGTAGAGCAGTAACTGTCATTTATTTCTTCCTGCAGGGGTTCCCCCTACCCTCTCTGTTCCTCCAGCACTCATTGGAGGGACAGACGGGAGGGGTGGGCACAGCTGGCTCTGGCACTGGAGTAGCAAAGCCAGCTGTCACTTAGGCAGCCAGGGTGGATATACCTACAATACAACAATCCTTTGCCATCTGCAAAGTAACTCTGCATAGTCAGCTAATAGCAGTCATAAAGTTCTGGTGTGCAGATTAATCCTGTCATCTTACACGTGGTGAATTCAGGAGCCCAGAGATACACAGCACAGAAGTGTGGAAAAAGGACTTGGTAGAAATCACATGGGTGATGATTTTTTTTCACTTTGAGTAACACATTTGTTGTTGGAGCACATCTTTATTAATGCATATAGGACAACTGATATTGTAACACATTTGATGTTTTATTTATTGGCACTATTGATTTTATGTTGATATGACACTGTTTAAATAGAGGATAGGGATTTAGGTTATTGAAGCGCAGTGCATTTTCTCACATAATAGCGGGCATTAGCCCACTATCTGCTGACTTTGGGTCACAGAAGTACATTAGTATATTTACTTCTGTGACCCAACAGAGAAGTAAAAAAAAAAAAAAGTTTGACTTCACTTTTCTATTAAACAAAAGTTCAATTGATGATGTATCTTTATGTTCCTAAAAGAGGAACAGTTATGGCAAATTAGTCAATTAAGCGTCAACAAGTGGAAGATACATTTGCTTTCAGCAAGAGGTTACTCTCTCCTCACAGACAAATCTGCCCAACTTGTGACTGAATAGGAGGCTTAGATTTCTTTGCACGCTTGTGTTTTAGTTTTACAAAGTATCTTACTGCAACACATAGACATATCAATAAAGTGAGCTTGTCTTGCAAAGACACAGTCCTGAATGGCAGACAATCACCCTTTCCCTAGAAGGGAGTTTACCAGAATCTCTCAAAGAATATATGCAAGGCAGTGTTCTCCATCTAGACACAGTTTCCACTGAGACATCCAAAACTAGCCTAGCCCTTATGTCACGTATGAACTCAATTCCAGTATTAGCATCCGAATATCAGGATTTGCGGATATCAGGATAGTTTCTTGATAGTTTTGAAGGGTGCAAAGTGCTTTAAATGGTTCCTGAGGGTTACAGCCACTTCCGGTTATCTGGGACCTGGTGTTGGCAAACTGAACCCTCATTTCACAGAAAGAAAAAAATAGCCAGCAAAAAAACTAATTGCATTACAAATATAACAGTCGCATAAAAGAAAAAAACACAAATACGCTAACAGGGTTATTCACAAAAGGGTTGAGAGTTTGGATGAGGCAGGAGAAGTGAACAATCTAGGACAACATAGTTGAACTGGAAAGTGAGCTGAATTGGAGAATTTTTCCGAATCACCTATTTTGGCCTAGATTGTTCACTTCTCCTGCCTTCTCAGAACTCTTCACCCTCTTGTGAATGACCCTGCAAATGAAATATAGTAAACTACCCTAAATACAAAAAATTGTTTTGCTCAATGAGTGAAATTGAGAAGTCTTGTTTGACTGTAGTCAACAGTGAAATCAGTTTTGCCAAAATCCCCCCCGCTCACCCCTAGATCCCAGATATACATGCATCTCTTTTCTTACCTACATACATTCGATAGTGGTTGGATTCTGAAAGATTTTTCATATGAAAGTTACATATATATGCCCAGTTAGATTGATGAAGCATTCATGTTTGGGTCAATGGAGGTGAGAAAAGAAGCACTACTAGAATCCTTTGACAATGACTTATTTTAGCATGACAACTCAACCTGGCAGATTTATTCTTGCCTGAGAAGTGTCTGGAGAGGTTGGTAGTGCAAACAAACTTGATTGTTGCTCTATCTGACTGTAAACACACAGATCAGGTGAAAATCATTGTATGCCTGTAGTTAGCTTTACATGACCATATCAATTTTTTTCTGAATCTGTGGTATACTTTGAGATATGTGATATGGAAAGGAAAAATGTTTTGTCCTTTACATTGTACAGAATACAGAACACACAAATGGTAAATGGAAGGGAAGTGGCATTCATATGTGGGCTGCATGACCTCATAGGCCCAGTAGTATTTATATCCTCTGCACCCCTGTAGTTATACCCCATTTTCCACTTTGGTTTCTGTTTCTCAGCTTCAAGCAAACTGTGCTTGCTCAAGACCTGTCTACATGATGTAGTGTAAAAAACTGAAAAAGATATAGCATTGGAACTGCAACAGGCTTTTGGTTAGAGTAGGGAAAAGTAAGAACCTCTACAAGTTATTACTGCTATTTGTGTCCTTGTTGAGAAGATTTCACGTGGTTTGTCCTGGTGACAATACAGAAAGCGAGGAGATCTTACCAAACTAGACACAGACAGCATTGACAAAACCTGACTGGAGTTCTAACCCTTCCCTACTCTACTTTAAACAAAGATTGTATTACTGTTGGTGCCCAGTTGAAGAGATTTTGCTCAAGACTCATCTTAGCAACCACACAGAAACCGTTACAAAAATGTCAAAAACTTGACAGATGTTTTAACTTTTCCAGACTGTCTCTAAATCTAAATAAAAGATTTAGGGATGTAGTTGTGCTTGACGTTGATGTAGTCTTTTTACAGATCTACATGTGCTCATGGGAAACATGGAAAAGGACTAATGTTCATTAAGTAGTAATTACAATAAATCATATGCATATCATACTGTAGATGCCAGAACTGGTTCAATGGAACATGGGTGCTTTAATACCTTATAGCTTTATTTCTAATCATTTATTCATAAATATCAGACTTGTGTGCTATTCTTACAGTACAAAATACAATCCCATGGCAAAATTCAGTTCCCATTCAGCACTCAGCACACAACGTAAAAGGACGGATACAGAATATATTGAATATTAGATGGATACAGAATATATTGAATATTACATTGTTTAGAGTTGTGTATTTTTTCTTTAACTGCAACTTCTGCAGCAATTGGCGCCATCCAAATTTAGCAACCACTGTCTCTTTTCCATTTTAGTACATATGTGAGCGGCATTTCCAGAGAGTCCTAAATCGCAGTTTATTTACTGGTTTACGATCTATCACCCATTTTGGAAGGCCGCAGTTTGTGCCATTTTTCACTTCTCTGCAGGAAGTTTATCCAGAGGTAAGGGACTTTACTGTGCATTTACTGAAGTGAAATTCAAATGTATTTTATTGTTAATTTGTGTATTGCCATCATCAGTTCCATTAACATAATTTTCTTGTTTACTCTGACATGTTATTATAATCTAGCAAAGCTAATAAACCTCCAGAACTAATTATTGAGTTATCATAATATTCTGTAATTTAATAAACGTAATATGATTTTACAGCATTGCTGCACAAAGGCTTGTCCTGTTGCTAACTATTGGAAAGCTAAAAGCTTTTTCATGTAATTATCTGCTTGTCACTAATCATTTTCTGAAGAGTCTGTATGCAAGTGAACTCTTGTCATAGCATGAAATGCCATTTTTACAGGCTCTGATAATGATGTGGTCAGTGTTTAAATTTTATGTGCAGCTGATATACAGTGTGTAAAAGTAATTTAAACAACATATGCATGAAATGGTTCAATGCAATATACAGGGTCCATGTATAAACTATTATGGTGAGAGCTAGGAATTCTTTAAATGTGTATATGTTATATAAAAAAGTACATACAACAATTATGATATGCCAGTAAGAAAGGCACACAAGTGGGCTATATCAGCCGTTGGATTTTAACGACTTAAGCTATCGCGCCTGTATACCCCCGTATAGGGTCGGTTCACACCACAAGCGATGCATTCCAGAGCAGTCAGCCTCTGGAACGTACTGTATCGCCGATCGACTCCCTGCATTCAGGGGTGGGAGGGGGCACGGCAGCACATTGAAGTAAATGGAACCGCAGCCACGCCACCCCCGCCCGCAGTGCAATCACCCACACCCGAACGCGTGGTACCGCCATGCCCCCCCCCCCGCCCCCC